GATCTGCAACCTATACAACTATGAGACCAGAAGAACTAGATGGTGCCTGGCTACCACTATCATCCACTTGGAAGGGATGTAGGAGATCCTGGATAGAGAAGGAGAACAATGTGGAACAAAGTTAAAAATTATTTGGAGGCAAAAAAAAAAAGGTGGGGACCAGGTTTTCTGGTCCAGTAGAGCCTAGTGGAACCACTGAGACTATGGCCCCCAGCTGCCCTTCAGGTCTGGGATTGAACCCACACCTGTGGTTTCCAGCCAAACAAAGTACTGGCATGTGAGTTAAACATTTACCTCAAGTAGACACACACCCTGGAGAGAACAATCATGGGAGAAGGAAGGGCTTCTTATGCACAGGAAGATAGCTCAGGGGGCAGGAGAGTATGGGGGGATGGACACTGGGAAGAGGTAACTATGGGGATGAAGTGGGAGGTGAGCTGTTGCATTGTGGTAAACTGTGGTCAATGACATGCGACAAAGTATATGTGAACTGCTGTATGGAAAGTGAATTTGTTCTGTAAATCTTCACCCAAATCACAATAAAAAATAAATAATAAAAAAAACCTAATGGGGCAATTTTACTCTGTACATATAGGGTCACCATGAATTAGAATTGACTTATGGCACCTAACAACAGCAACATGGCTTGCTTCACTTAGCCTAATAATTTTGTGATTCATCTATGTTGGTGTATATATATCATCAATTTGGTTTTTTTTATTGCTGATTAATTTTCCCATTGTGGACTCCCTCCAATTGATTCTCCACTACTCTGTTGATGAAGATTTGACTTGTTTACAGTTCTTGTCTGTTAAAAATAAAGTATAAATATTCTTGGGTGAGGGTTTGTGTGAACATGTATTGTGTTTCTCTTGAGTAAAGGGCTGGATTACTTTGTAGGCATGCAATTCTTTTTAAGTAGTACATTTTCTGTTCTTTTAAGACTTTCGTGTGAACTAGTTTAGTTTGCTTTTTTTCTTATCCCTAAAATTTAAGCACTCACTCACCTGAAGAAAATGGAAAAGACTTGGGAAAGAGAGTACCCTGGTAAAGAAGTGTAGAGAAGAGATTATTTGAATTAAACACATCAGGAAACAACAAGTTTTGTTAGGCTTTCAAGTCTTAGTATTGAGAAGAGGGAGGAGTAAAGAGTGTCCAAATGTGTAAAAATCCAAAGACTAATTCTCCTCATTTCCCATGTGGGTCTTAATAAGTAGGTTAGAAAGTTTTAGATTTTGTTTACTTTTTTTCACCAAAATTATTCCAGGTACTGAAGACCAAAAGAAATTACTTGATACTGAAACCAAAGGAGATATTAATTCCATTAAAAGGGGGTGGGTCGGTGAGTACTGTGGTGGAAAAAAACAGTACTTGACATTGTTCAATGTTAACTCTTTCCCTTTGCAATGATTACTGACAATTAGTGTAGAGTGAAAATTATTTTACATATTTTACCAATCTGAATGGAAGATTTAGGATTATAAAGAATGTACTTTCCGTTTAAAGGGAGCAAAAAAGTCTGCTTGTCTTCGGTGCTTTGAAACTGTGATAATTAGCAAAAAGTCTTATTTGAGGTGGAACATACATGGAGATAAGTGGTTTAGTTGGACTTCCCACAGAGCTGCTTAGTACTTTGGATTATCAAGTAATAATTAGTACTTTTTTCTCAATATGATTTAAGTTAAAATGTACTTATATACATTTTTATAGTTCCTGGCCTGACAGGCGTCTGCATGGTATTGGTACTATTCCTCATGATTACAGCTTCTACATATGCGATCCGGTAAGTTCCAAGCCATTTTTTCCATGTTTACTTATCAGATTATCAAGCTTTTGTTCAGATTATCTTCATTTCCACATGTGGAAAAGCCTTGATTAACCAAAACCTCCATAGCCAATGCAATAACTTGATTAGTGGCATATTCTCAGTAATAAAGAGTGAAGTACAAACATTTCTTTTTATCAGTTCCTGTTTTTTTAAATTCTCTTTGTTAGTCAACTTCTTTAGGTTGGTAAAGAATTGTATATGGAGACTTAATGTGATGACTAAGGAAATTTAAGTTCTTCAGGGTCAACCCTCTGAAAGGCAGTGTACCTCTATGGACATCAGATTGAATTTAACATAGACACAAAGATTTTGAAAATTCCTTGGAATATACCACTTAAAGAGGGCGTTTTTCTTTCTTTCTACATACATCTATGTATTTTGCAAAAATTAGATCATGTTATACAAAGTATTTAAAGTTTGCTTTCTATTTAAATGTTATGAACATTTCTTCCACCTTAGTCAATATTTCTCTATCATCCTTTTTACTAATTGCACAGTGTATTACCATATAAATATACATTACTTTGTTTTCCTAGTCCTCTGTTGTTCAGTGTTTTAGGATGATCCAGTTTTTCGTTATTTCAATACTAAAATGAACAGCCCCATAAATGTGTCTTTGCATACTTTTTCAGTTATTTCCTAAGGAAAATGCACTTTATATAGATATAGAGTAGCTGAGCCATGTGGTAAGCATATTTTAAAGACTTTTTATAAGAATTAAAAACTACTTACATAAAGGCAAATACCTGTTCATTTGGTTGGAGATATTTTAATTAGATAAAACAGTCCTAAACAAACTTACTTTTGCATTTTTAGGCATTGTTAAAGAAAAATTAGGGCATCTGCCAGATTTATTTACGAGACTGAATAAGGGTGCCATACAAACTTATGAGGAAGACAAGTCTTAAATGAATGAAATTCTAGATTAATTATAGAGTTAATTATAAAAGATAATAACATCAAAAATTTAGAAGAAACTTGAAATGTGTATTTATCAGGCCTCAAGATGGGTGAGGGATCATGTAGGAAATATTTGACTTCCTAAAAATATGAAAATTAAAACTTCTGCTTATTGATGTACATCATAAAAATAATAACATAAATGTATTATGAGGGAAGTTATTACCAATCACATGGAACTACTCCAGTTTGGGCTTCTTAAAATGAAAAGTTTAAACACATTAATTAAGAACAATAGCTTATTAAAAATAGATAATGATTATGAACAGAAAAATTACAGAAGAGATTAAAATAATACACAGATGAAATAATATGCAATCTCATAAAAAATAGTGGAAAATTTATAAAATGAGTTACTGCTGTAGCCAATCCATATTGAATGACTGAACTGAGTGATAATACTAAGTGTAGTCTGGGTTTGGGAAAACAAGCTTTGCTGGATTTATAATTGATAAACATGTTCATAGACAGCAATTGGCAGTATGTATCAAAAGCATTATAAATGTATGTACTTTGATCTAGCAATTCCATGTCTGGCAATTTTTTTGAATTTAAATTAAAAAATCATCAACAACGTGTAATAAGTTAAAGAAAATAAAATGAAAAAGCACACTCAGGGGGCTGGCTCTCAGCCCAATAGTTAACAAGATGTACATGATAATGTCAACCCAGGATGACACACCCACATACTCTATGGAAATATTTCCCTTGCAGCAATAGACCACGGGGCACCAAAGGGGCACCCATTCACACGAGGTAATGCAGGACAAACTGGAGTGGATAACTATGCACAGGGGGAGGGTTACTGGGTAGTGAGGGGAGGAGACTGGGTTAGGGTTGGGCATGGTAAATGGGGAGTGAAACTAAATGTACACTAACATTGAAGGTAAAACAAACTCTTAAAAAAATGAAAAAGCACAGTAACATGTATTTCTTCTACTTTTCAAAATATCTTAAACACTCTACTTGTGATAAGAAATTTAGTGAAGATTTTATGTACTGTATATATTGCCAGAATGTTGTTGTTATGTGCTGTGGAGTCAGACCCGACTTACAGTGACCCCTTCCTTGGGTTTCTGAGGCAGTATCACTACAGAAGTAGATTGCCCCATCTTCCTCCCGAGGAGTGGCTGGTGGGTTTGAACCGCTAGCCTTCTGGTTAACAGTCAGGTGCCTTAGCCACTATGCTACCAGAGCTCCTAAATGTTAGTGGTCTTTTTTTTTTTTTTTTTTTTAATAATAACAACAACTATGAATTAAATACGTATAAGACAATTGACAATTAATTAGATCAGAGGTTCTAGCAAGGTTATTAGGGGTTATATTAGAATACTATGGGGAAACTTTCCAAATACCTCCTCTCCACCTCCAAGATGCTGATACATGAATATCTGTCTACTCCCAGACATGAAATAACTGCTAATCTTTCTATTTCTCTCAAGCATGTCATAAACTTTTCCTTTTCAGATTTTTTGTTCTCACCCAGGACAATTACTCCTTGGTATCATTCTCAAGTATCACTGTCCAGGAAAAGCATTTACTTTAATTTTCTCCCTTTGAGTTTCCTTTGAATGACACTAAAATATGTATTGGGATGGGAGCATTAGTTGTTTCAAAAATCATTTGAAAATTAAAAATATTGATAAATAAGTCAACAGAAATATAAATTAGCAGGCTTTATCCACTTCTTAGCCTTGCGTCAAAATAACTTTACAATAATTTATTTAATTCTTTTCATGTATTTTTATTCAAAATACAAAGAGCCTTCAAGCTGATAATTTGTTATTGATAATTTTTATCAAATTCTTACATGTGGTGTGGTGATGCTTTGGTATTATAGAGCTAATCTTGGATGAACTCATTTCTTAGGTTTCTTAAATTGTGATATATGTTTGAAACGGTATGCAGTCCTTTTAGTGAGATGAAATGTGAAGTAGCACTAAACTGTTATTTGTTTTTTCAGAGTTTCTAACTATGACATCTTCTGGTATACTCATAACCTCTTCTTTGTCTTCTACATGCTATTGATGTTGCATGTTTCAGGGTAAGTTTAAAGAATGCCTAAAATAGTTCTTATCTTATTCCTGCATATAATTGAATTGAGGAGGTTTTAGATTAATGTCCTGTAATATAGTTTCAGATATACTAGTAAGTAATATGGAAAATAATTGAAATGAAATTAAAACATGTGTGCCTAAAAATGGGGTTATGAAAGATTAACTCTATAAGGTAGCATTATTCTATATTTAGCATAGCATATTTTATTGAAACTAGTGGGAAATGATATTAAAATTGATGACTAGAATTAATTGTACACATTGTTCAGTCTTTAAAGCCTGCTCTACATCCAAAGGAGCACTGGTGGTGCAGTGGTTTAAGTACTCAAGTGCTAACTGAATGGTAGGTAGGCAGTTCACCCTGCCAGCCACTCTGAGGAAGATGTGATTGTGTGGTTCTGTAAAGATTACAGTCTTGGAAACCCCATGAGAGAGTTCTACTGTGCCCTATTCAGCCACTATGAGTTGGAATTGATGGCAGTGGGTTAGGTTTTGGTTTTATAGACACATCTTGATAGCCTCTAAACTAAAGTGAATAAGAATGAGAATGACGAACTTTAAGAAGATATTTTAGTATTTTTATTTTCAGAAACTGCTTTTGTCTTGCAGCTGCAGAATATCTAACAATAGAGTTACTGGTCTTTTCATTTAGAAAAGCTCAGAGGCAGTCATAGTTGCAGAAAGACCCAAAAGTTTACATTTACTGAAGACAAGGCAAACATCAAAAAAAAAAAAAAAAAAATTCTAAACTTATTATAAAAAATATACCCAAAGTGTTCTGATATATATGTGGATCATGGATCCTAGGTGGTTACTGCAGTAGGCTCAAAAAAAGTACAGTGCTTAAGATAATCCATTGGGATATAGACACAATATATATGTATATAATCTCACACACAAACATAATATGCACATTTAAAGATTTCTGTTTTGTATATGCATATTCCGAATAAACTATGACACAGTAGGCTGTTATCTGGTATCAGGTTCACTTGTTTTAGCAGAAGGATGCAAGATTGGAAACAGAATGTTAGCAGGAAAATGTCAGGGTTTTCTTAAGTGGGGACCTCTATAATTGTTCAGGAACTATTTTCACCTCCCTGCTACTCCACCTCATGCAGCGACTCAGTTTTAAGATGAGGAGAACCTTATGGATGGGCATGGGCTACCTTCCCTTGGGTAAAACTCATGCTATACAAGAAGCAATACCTTGGTAACAGCCTGACACCCCTAAAGGAATGCCCTCAGTTACAAGAGTACATTGCACATAGGGAAGCTGAGGCCTGTGATTTCCAAAATTGTTTTATAGTACACTCAGTCCTCCCAGTCCAGATGCATTTCACTAATAATAAACAATGTTTCCTGGTAACACAGCTGGCATCCCAATTTATCTTAACCCCAAATGTTTTCTGGGAAAAAGTGTTTGGAGAAAGGTTCTGACCTGCTTTTAGTCTTTTCTTGAGAATGTTATATAATGTACAGTATCTCTCAGGACATGTACATAAATTATATATTTACTTCAGGGTACATGTTCAATATATTCCCCCCCCCCTTAATTTTCAAGACCACTTGTTTAAACAACAGTTTAAATGAGTCTGTATCTCATATGTCCTGGTTAGCTTTGTTCTGTACTATCATTCTAGATTATAGAGCTGTACCCCATCAGAAACATGGCCACACACTGTAACTCCAACTCCTAGCTAGCAATTTCAGCCCAGGAAAGAGGGCTATGATCATTGAATGCTCCAGGTTTTATTCATTAACCTTTGTGGGGCATTAGGACAACCAAAAGCAACCAAAAGAATCTGGTTTGTGTTCTGTGTTTTGATGGTATATTTGCCTGTCTAGGGCTATGGTCATAAAGTAGAATAATCAAATAGTAATACTATGAATTGGATTATATATTACTAATTATTTCAAACTGTTATAGAACATTTACTATATGCCAAGTATCATTCAAGACATTTTACATATCATTAAATGCTCAGAATTTTATAAAGATAGATAATATTAAACACCTTTTACAGGTGGGAAATCTGAGGTTTAGAGAACTTAAGTAGCTTGCTGAAGTTTACATAACTGATGGATCCTGGATTCAAACTCAGATATCCTGATTCAAAAATTCATATTTTTTACTAAAATGAAAAACCAAAACAAACAAACAAATCAAATGTATTGCCATTGAATTAGATTTATAGTGATCCTATAGGACAGAGTAGAACCATCTCATGGGGTTTCCATGGCTGTAATTTTTATGGAAGCAGACTGCCACACCTTTCTCCCACAGAGCTGCTGGTAGGTTCAAACTGCCAACCTTTTGGTTAGCAGCTGAGTGCTTAACCACTGTGCCACTAGGGTTCCTTTATTCTTTACTACCAGGCTCTATTTTTTTTATAGTGCTCTGTACTTCTGAGATTTTGCTTTTGTGTTTTTTTTTTAAGTGTATAATTTTAGCTTATCTGGAGTTGTGATCTTTATGTATATATGAGAGAAAAATGTAGTCACTTGTTAATATAATGAATTATGCATTTCCCTTCAACTTTTACTAAACTAAAATTCTGAAATAAAATTGCTTCTTTGTAATTCGAAGTAGAACAGGTTTTTTTTAGAAGTTCAGGAGTTCAAATAGACTTCTTAAGTTTAAAGAAAATTATATTGAAGTTCCTTTTTTGGGGGGTAAAGGTAGGACATATTTAAATTTTGATTTTGTTATTTATAGAACATAATACAAAATTAAGGTAACTTTAATTTGTACAAAGAAATAGCAAAAGATATCTGCAGGAAAATTATATATAATCAACCTGTTACAAATAGTCCCAAACTTATAATATATTTGAGTTATGACAAACCACACTTATAACTGTCCTTTTTTTTTTTTTTGGTATAACTTATCATTAGTGATATATGCTATATACAGTGCTGCAGCATGTAAATTGCTGATGTTATTCTCAAATGTTCACTTGAAGATTTCAGTTTTATGATTTACTGTTAAAATATTGCCTCAGAGGAGGCTACCACCTGGTCTACAATATAGTTGGTGTGAGGAGTCAACAGAAAGAAAGGTGGGCAATGTTCAACTGTAACAACACACGACAGCTGAACTGCACATGTGCCCTACAGTCATTATGGCTCCAGCTTCATTGTTCTGACACTGACACTGACTTTCTTATAGAAAATGAAGGATATAGCATGATCTTATTCAGTGTTTCGTACCATAAGAAGCATCAGTTGTTAATTTGAAGGCAAGTTATTCATGTTTCTCTAACTGTAACACCTGCACTGCTTGTACCCCAATAATATGTCCAGCAAAAGAAGTCATGCCACTGAAAGTTCTTATCCAAAAAATAAGGTGAGGAAGTCTGTAGATACGGATATAGAGATGAAGATCATTAAGGCCTATGAAAATGGAAAGAAAGTCGGTGAAAGAGCACATGAGGAAGGATTGTCTCATTCGACTGTTTCAACAACCTTTAAGGATAAAAACAGGATTTTAGAAGCAGTTAAAGGAGTTATTGGCATACAATTGACAATTTTAACAAAGGAGAAGCAAGCGCCAATCCACAAGATGGAGAAGCTGTTGATGATTTAGATAGAAGACCAAATCCATTAGAAAGTTTCCTATGGATTTAATGACAATTCAAACAAAAGCACCTAGCCCTTCTAAAAGCCTTAAGAAACAGCCAGGAGAAGACTACAGTGAGTACTGTGCTTTAATGTCAGCAACACCACAATTTGGCTTACATAATGTATGTATGACTGAAGAATCAGGAAGCACCAGTGTTGAAGCTGTCGAAGGATTTAATGATGAGCTGAACAAATACAAGAAGAATAATATCTACCAGAGCAGATTTTCAGCATGAATGAAATAGACTTGTTTTGGAAAAGGATGCCAGAGTGGACCTATATTCATAATGAGGCAGAGTTAATGCCTGGTTTGAAAGCATTTAAAGGCAGGGTCATGCTGCTGCTTGGAGGAAATGCTGCTGGGTTTAAATTAAAACCTTTTCTTGTTGACTGTTCTGAAAACCTCCAAGCATTCAAAAACGTTGACAAAAATAAGCTGCCAGTCTACCTCAGAAGTGACTCCAAGGCCTGGATGATGATTGTGTTATTTGAAGAATGACTTTTAAATTGTTTCATCCCAGAAGTGCATGCCAACTGCCTGAAAGAAAAGAGCATTCCTTTCAAGTTTCTGCTGCTGCTTGATAATACCCCAGGACATCCTCCTCATGTAGATGAACTAAATCAAGATGTGAAAGTGGTGTATCTACCTCCCAGTATGACAGCTGTGATTCAGCGTATGGATCAAGGTGCATTTGATACATTCAAGGCATACTAGCTATGGATTATGGTTGCTCAGACAATACCTGCAATAGATAGAGGTACAGTATTCCGTAGTGATACTGCCTCAGAAACCCAAGGAGGGGTCGCTATGAGTCGGGGCCGACTCGACGGCACACAACAACAACAACAACAACATTACATAATTTCTGGAGAATTATAATATTCTTCAGTTTATCTAAAACATTGCATCTTCCAGAGAGGAATTTATGGGAAAACACATGCAGGGGATATAGAAAAAAATGTTGACTTATGTGAACATGCTGTATGCATTGGATTTGGATAATATGATGGAGGAGAGCAATGGAATAATCATCCATATGGCAAGAATGCTGAATTTAGAACTTGTTAGCACCAACATGGACCAGCTGATAGATCATGAAGAACAGGAATTGATGGATCAGGTCTTTAGGTATTTTGAAGATGAAAGAAATGGTAAAGAAGAAAGAAATAATAATAAAGAGGTTGAGAGAAATTGTAAAAAAAAAATTTACAGTGAAAAGATTGAAAAACTCAAACCCAGTGCCACTGAGTTGATTCCAACTCATAGTGACCCTTTAGAACGAAGTAAAACTGCCTCATAGGGTTTCCAAGGCTGTAAACTTTTATATAGAAGCAGACCACCTCATCTTTCTCTTTGGTTAGT